AATAAAGAGTATTATTCTGGAGTATATTAGAACAACATGCTCTGCCTCTGGCTGTGTTTTAAGAAAGGGATATAGTTTCCTCATCTGTTTTGCACATGGAGTTTGGGCGGTGTGGGGTGCAAGGCATTAAAATCCTGTGGTCCAAATTACAGGCTACTCTGCCTTGGGAAAGTCAGAGTTGTTTCACATATTTGCCCAATACTGGTTTCAGTCTTCAAAAATGCCTGTCTTTTTTTTTAATGGCTTTGATTTAATGGACTCATTTTGCAACATATGTCTGTAAGCAACCTGTTGTGCAAGTCATAGGTGAAGGACTCCTGGGCAAGACAAGAGGGATCTAGCTATGAGCCGTTGGCTCTGGGGCCGTGGAGCCAAACTTCTAGACTTAAAACTATGTGTGGTGAGCAGTTTACTGCTCAAGTTAAATCACACTAATATGGGAAAATAAATTTACCGTATAGGGTCGGGTATCTTATCTAATGGCTTCATATCTTTTTAAAGATCTCTTTGTGAGCTTGTTTATGACATATGCCAATGGCTGAGGTCCTCAGTTCAGGGTTCATTATTGCCTTTGGTCAGTGGAGGCTCCTCTCTTCTCTGAGTGTGTGTGTTCCCTTTTGTGTTCATTCCCACCCACCCATCTTCACCATTGGCAACCACTATAAAATGTGTACTGCATATTCTCCTGTTTATAAATATGCTTATGAAACATAGTATTGGTTTGTGGGCCTATCTTTATTTTGTACATTTTTGTTACTGGCACTGTCAATGCATTTTCTGTTTTCACTTACAGTAATTTTAGAATCTATCCACATTGCTGCATGTATACCTGAACTCTCACCTCTACCTTCTGTGTGGTGCTCTATGATATCCATCTCCATTTTACCAGGGGGCACACCACATTGCCTCCAATGTCCACCACCACACACGATGGCCTGTGACCCTCTTTATACGAGTCAGTCCCCTTATAGACCTGGACCAAATTTCAGTGGCACACAGACCCAGAGCAAGATTTCTAGATCACAGAGCATGCCTATGTACGCTTGGCTTGCCCACCTATGCAGACCACCACAGCTAGGCTGCTCTGAGCTAGTCTCCACAGCCAGGTAACAGCAGTCTTAATGCCCAAACCCTGGTCAACAATTGGCTTGTCCACTTTGTAACTGATTGCCAGACTGATAGTTGTCCCGAGTTTAATATGAATTTACCTAATTTCTGATAAGTTTGAACAGGTCTTGAGAGCTTTGTTAGTACACTTGATACATGTAAAGTACTTAGGGGAGGACTCAGCCTTGACCTGGGAGGATGTCTGTTGTTACTCTATCAACACAAGCACCTTTTAAATGTCCCTTGATGTTAATGATGTTGTCTTGATATAAACATAAAATGCTGCATTTCAGTGATTATTTCTGGTCTGGAATTATAATCACCCACCACTTAACAATGGGGATAAGTTTTGAGTCCTGGGTTGTCAGGCAATTTCATCAGTGTGTGAACATCATATCCTTATACAAACCTAGATGGTACAGGTAGTAGGTCAGTCATTCAGTGTGGCCTTTGATACAATCGAGATGCATGAGGATGAGGTATATGAGGCTGTGATTGTGACATAGCATCCTGTTTTAAAGTAAACATTTTTTAGAAGTAGAGTACACTATAAAACAATGATGTGTATAGTGAACACATGACTGGTAACAGCCATTTATTATCAAGTGTTACTTACTACACATAATTGTATGTGTTATGGCTTTATATACCTAGTAGTGCAGTAGGTTTGTTCACACCAGTGTCACCGTAGACACCTGAGTTACCTGTTGTGACAGCTATGATGTCCGTGAGTTACCAGAACTTCCGAGCTCCATTATGATCTCCTGGCACATTATATGCAATTGATTGTTGACCACAGCGTTGCCATGTGGTGCAGGACTATACATAACTTCATTGTTTTACCTTTTAATGGGACTGCCATCTGTCCACCACATACTTCTCTCCATTTGTACAGTCCCCATTTGGCTCAGGCCCCCACTTAGCTCCCCACTCAACTAAACTCCTGCTCTCTCTATTCCCTCTGGACACCTCTGCACTCCAGCAGCACTTATCCGTGTTCCAGGGAGAGAATCTAAGTCCCCCCTTCTAGTCCATGGATCCTCTTTCCCTCAGGATAGAATCCCTGGCCCACCTGATCAGCCCCTCCCTGATTGCTGATTCCAGTCTCTCTGCTCTCTACCCCACTGGCTGCTCCTCAGAGCCTTCAGCCCCTGTTCCTTCTGTGCGGAATATTTTCAGTTTCTATCCCTACCCCTCAAAGTCAATTCCTTCTTAATCTTCAGAGATTAGCTCAAATGTCACTTCCCTGATCCCTAGACTAGATAACTTTTCTAGTTACTTTTATAGCTCATAGATTAATCATAATCAAGTAACTCTACAGTGACTCTTTAATGCCCTTCTCCCTAGACTTCCAGGGGACAGATGCTGCCATTGTTTTGCTCACTGCATTTCCTGCATGTAGCGTGGTGCCTGGAATATAGTAGACACTCAGTGAATCCTGGAGTGGATGTTGCTGAACAGCAAATACCTCCTTATAACAGAATATTTCAAATCAATGACAAAGTTCAACATGATCCTAAAACCTCGGGAGTATGAGACACTGTCCAGCAGAATGTGGCACTGGTCCTCGCAGGCCCCGTGCTGGGCAGCTTATCTCACCAGAACCAGCAAAGCAGCATCACAGGAACTTGTGACTCAGAGGAAGGGAGAGGAGAGAGGCCTTTGGGGGAGATAAAAGGATAGTGTACTAACACAGGATAAAGTAAAACCAAAAATATAAAAAGCCCATTTTGGATGAAATGTAGACACTTTTAAGAGTGCCTAGTTAAAATGAAATAAGGAAATCAAATCAGCCAAGAAAATAACTTCAAAGGACAGACTTCATAGTGACTCAGCTCAGAGCTATGGTTAGGTTCTATTTCTTTCCCTACAAAGAATAGTCACTGGGACCTCACTTTGCCTCCATGTGTTTCCAAGCAGCTGATCCAAAATAACATCTTAAGTCCACTATTGAAAATATGGACAATTATATTAAGGAAGGCTTTTGTGAATGCTTTTTCATAGGAACTAAGCCTGCCCGATCTATCATTGACTCGAGGGTTGATGTTCCCCAGGACTCTTCTCATTTCCCATGTGTCCCCTGGGGGTTGGCATCCATTTCAACAGCTCCCACCACTTCTGCTGCTGAACTTGCCTGTGCATCTCAAGTGTACTGGACACCAGAGACTGAACCCGCCCAACTCAGCTTTGTCCTATTCTCTTGAAAGGCCTCCCCAATCTCCCCACCCCTCATGTCACTAAACACCTGACTCCCATGTAGGTCACACTCAAGAGGCCGAGTGAACATGCAGAGCTGACTACCAGGCCTTCCAGTGCACATGCAGTGGGCAGCGAGAGCCCCAGGGCTCAAGGCTTAGGACCTACTGGCAAGCAGCAGTGTTGCCTCCTCTGAGTATTCATTGTTGGTGGGATCAGTGCTGCTAGGGTTGTCAAAGGCAGCAAGACCAGCATTCTGTGTTCCTCTAACGTGGGCAGGCAGTGAAGACCCTGAACTTCTAGAATCTTCTGAGAAAGAGCAAGCCTGGGACTCTTGTTCAGCTACTATCATACACGCTTCGTTTATATTTTTGTACTTTTTTAAAATCTAGTGTTGCAGAAGCAAACCATGCTTCAACAACTGTTACAGTTTGGATTTCAAATGTCCCTCAAAGGCTCATGTGTTGAAAGCTTGGTTCTTTTTCTGTGGTTATACTGGAAGATGGTTGAACCTTTAAGAGGTGGAACCGAGCGGGAGGAAGTTAGGTCACTGGCAGGGTACTCTTGATAGATATTGGAACAGCCTCTTGCCTTCTCTGCTTCCCAGCTGCCATGAAGTGAAAAGACTTCACCATGTGTTCTCCTCCCTAAAGTATTGCCTCCCCCCACCCCACCCCCAGGCCCAAAGGCAACAGGGCCAAGTGACTATGGACTGAAACCTCTGAAACCATGAACCAAAATAAACCTTTCTTCCTTTCAAGGTAGTAAGCTCAGGTATTTGGCAGTGATTAATCTTAGAAACCTTCATGGGAGTCCACATTATCATTCTCCTGTCCTTTGTCCTTGAACTTCAACCAGACTCTGGTTTGCAGCAGTTCCTCCCTCCCTCCCTCCCTCAGGTCTATAGATTTTCATAGTAAAAATAGTGACATACATTAACTTTTGAACTGACCAGGCAATGTCCTAAGCCCTGTTTATGCCTTAGCCTTACTTTACAACATCCTACATTCTGTAGTTATGTTTAATGTGGCTCCCACAAATTTTGGGATTAAGTTCCAAGTCCTCTTCATAACAAATGAAGCTTTCCAAGACCTGTATGCAAATTTCACCTCATGGCTACTTTTAGGGGTGTCCTTTGCTTTTAGGCCTTATCCCCACCTCAGATCTGGGTGTGGCTGGCTTGTTCCTCCCTCCCTTCTTCAGTCTTTCACTTCCCTCCTATCCGTCAGATCTCAGCTTAGAGATGGCTTCATCCCCGTACCTTTGTTCAGCCTACAGTGGGAAAAGGAGAGCCCTAAATTTACATATGTAGCACCAGCTCCCAGGTCAGGGTCCAGAAAAGGCACTGAATAGCTAGAGAATGAAGGAATTCACTCCAGTTCCCTGCACACACCTGGTGCTCTGACAAAGTGGGCTTCCTCCTGGATACACATGTATTCTTTTCTCAGCCCACCTTTCTAAGTACAAGTCAACCTAGCAAACAGAATGATATGATGAATGATGAATGATATGATATGAATGATGAAACCCAAATTTGAGATCTTTGCTCCTCCTAAAAAAATCTCCAATTTCATTCAGGTGAAAATGCAACAGTTAACATTTGCATTCCACATTATCCTAAGAGTGTGATTCTTACATGAGGATGTTAATGGTTAATGGATTTTCCACAATACTAAGATTCACTTTTTATATTTCAGGTCGATTCACAAAGGGGATGTAAAGTTGACCTGGTGTTTAGCACAGAGCGCTACAACCAGGAGGTAAGCCACAACAATTAATGAAGTATGGTCTTAGTAAGTCCTATGAATACACTAAAAAAAGTGAGAATCTTAATAAAGCCTAGAGGCTTTGCTCTAATTTCCCTCCTTTGTTTTCTGTTTGTTCTAAGAACTGAAAAACAGAGCAGACAGAAAATCAAGATTCAACTATTTCAACTTCATAGCCTTATGTAGTTGCATTTAAAACCATCTCCCCCTCAGAGCCCCTGGGAGAGAATTTCACAGGTCCCTCTGATATTCTTCCTCACACCTCAGAGTCCTTAAAATGACTCACTCTCAAATGCCAGCCTGTTCTTTCCTGTCAGCTGGTGACATTTCTGGTTAGCAGGCTAGCCTTGCATGAGGCCAGTGCCACAAGCTTATATAGATGGGGACATTCTGCAAAAGCCAGAGCCGCACCCATGCCTGCTGCAGGCATTACTAGGCACACTGCAGTTCCCACCATGTTTTGCCAAGTTTGCTTTACTCTGTTTTCAAGAAGAAAGAAAACAGAAAACACATGTGGAAATTAGAGCCAAATGAACTTCCAAATGCTGGGCCAGTCTGGAAGGCTACAACTAGAGCAGGGATGGAGAGAACAAAACAGATTTAGTATCGTTCATTGTTCAGTCACCGTGGGAAGAGCAGGCAAAGCATCTCAGGGAGGCAGAGCTTTAGAGGCAAAGGGAGGATACCCCAGTCCATGCTACTGGAAGAATGTTTTCCAGAATAAAGAAACAAGTTCCAGAGTGACAACAGTATACTCTGACTGTGTAGCTTAATAATAAGCTAAGAATTCAAACTTTCTTAAAGGACAAGGAAGATGTCTTTGATTTCTAGTGCTGCAAACTGAAAAAGTATTAAAGTTAAAGGGAAAAAACAATTACTAGCTTACTTTGACAATATGTTCCTCAGGATTTGCTCCTATAGGTGCATTAAGCACACAGCTGGCTAATTGAAATGTTCCATTTCAGAAGGTGACAGAGGATTCTTTTATTTTCAGGCAGCTGCTTTGTTTCCATGGAGGTGTTGAGGGGTAGAGATGGAATGCAAGACAAAAGGGAGTAATACCATATCTGGTTTTGTCTTCCCTGGAAGTGGCAAACAAAAGAGAACATAGAGGAGCCCTGCCTTCTGCCTATCACATGCCTCTTTCTAGAAACACCTTTCACCTTTTTTTCTATTTTGTACCAAAAATTAGTATCCTAATGCACCCCTGAATTTCTTTCACTCAAAACTGGCACTCACAGAGTTGCCCATTGGAAAACCTATTTCAGTGTTTTGAGTTAGTTATAGAAAAAGGCTTATAGCAGATCTAACTTTGGTTATAATTTGTTTCCTTGTGGGCATTTTATTTCTGGTGATGGTTTTAATTGGGACTCTGCCCATTTAAACAACTGCAAAAGTGAAAAGTTATTGCCTCAACTGGTCAACCAATCACATTTTAACAGGAGATACTAACTAGGGGCCCATGCCTGGGTTTGGGTAGGACCATGACTAGTGGCCCACGACCCCTTCACATTCAAGACCTCTAGTTGAAGGGATGAGCAAGTGCATTTTTCTAGGAAATTCTTCATCTTTTATTTGTTGGGTTAAGGAATCTATGACCAAATGGATGATGACTAACTATCCTAGAGTCATACATGTGATGTTTACTTGAAGCTGTCTCTGGCTTGGAAATACATGACAGTGACCCCAGAATTCTAAGTACATCTCTTTTTAAATATGAATGTAGACAAGCATCTCTCAGGTTGATGAATGAGTCACCTATGCCACCACTGCTGGACTTGATCTCCAGGCAGAGAGGTCAAGTTAGTAAAGAGTTAACAGTTGAGCTCAGACATAAGTGAGCTTATGTCTTGGCTTACCACTTAACTAGACACTTACACTCCATTACTAGTGAGTCATGGAGTAGGTTCCTTTTTAAACTTCAGTATCTTAGTTGTTTATTGAAATCAGAGGGTATAATTTATAAGACAGCAAGAATATGTTTCTTTTGTTAGTAGGAGCCAGCATCATCTTTTAGTTTAAGTTAGTTACTTTAACATCCAACTATGCATTATGCTGGTCCACAGTAGAGTGAAGTACCCACCATCTTAGGGCTTTGAGCCAGACAATACTTAAATATCAATGATATATAAAGGCACAACCAGAAGACAAGAGTTTAAATGATAACAAAGAGTAAAGGACTGTTGCATGCAGTTGTGAGCACAAAAATCAATTTCTATACAGTGAAACTGTATTAATGCCAGAGCACATGCCATGCATAATGAGACCTTCTTCCAATCTTGTGTGTTTGTGTGCACTGGGGTTTGTGTGTTATTTAATTCCCAAATCTTTACTTCAGGAAGGTGAGGAGCATTTGGGGAAATGTTCTGCTAATGTGTTCTTCAAGAATCAGAAACCCAGACCAGCCATTAATGTCACCTGTACAAGGCTCATGGACCAGAAGAAAAGACAACAAGATGATTACCTGCTTTACAAGCAAATGAAGAAACTGAAGAATCCCTTGGATGCGGTCAGCATACCTGGTATGATTAGTATCTGAAATTTCTGTATTTACGAATTACTAAATCTTAAAAAGAATAATTAAACATTTATCCCTGAAGTGGCACTTATAATTCAACTGTAGATTGTGGTATGCCTATTTAAAAAAAAACTTGGGAGTTTTTTTTCTGGTCTTCATCTCTAGTGCAATTTAGTATCTCCACCAAAGACTATCAGTGTCTCTTTATCTCTCCATTTTTCATCCCAGAACATGGGTGCAGCAAGAGTTGAACTTCCAAGTAAAAGGTAAGGAGGTCTTTGCAACTGGCCGTGCATATTAAGGAACAGTTTTCAGGGTCAGTTCGAGCCTGAAGTGAGATTTGTAGAGATTTTTGGTGGTAACCTTGGGAATGTTAGATGACAAGACATACTCTTGTGCCTTTGCTGTGCCCTACATACCAGGGCTGGCTGAGCAGCTGTCTCGCCATTCTGAGTGCTGCAGTGGAGTCACGTTTACCTCATGTCAGGTCAATAGCTAATGGGTAGTGGTGCCATCTCTAATAGATAGGCCCTACCCTCTGCAATGACTCAGCTGAAGTGAAGCACAGCTTATTTGTCCTGGCATTCCAGAGTGTGTGGGCAGCTGTTGGGACTCGGCACTTACTGGCAAATCTAATTTCCAAAACCACAAAAGCAATCTCTGGACTTGCACAACTTGGGAATTATGCTTGACATCTGACCACATGTTCTCCCAATCTGCTCATTTGCCCAGCTACCCCAAGACCACGACAAACCTATGTCAATACCCAGGGAGCTGCAGGCTCCATTCCTGAGTGTATCTGGGCCCCATCAATTTACTGATACTCACTGCCTCTTGTGTTTCTAAAATTCAGTTTCTTGGATGATTCTCACAGCACTGTTCACTACTCAGATAAAATCCAGTGCCAAAGAATTATGAGGTGCAATTCAAACTCTTACGTTGTAGTAGAATGTATTTACACTTAGTCATCAGCTCACTTATTTAAAGCAGTACTAATACTTGGAATCTGTAGTTATTAGGGATTTTTTTTCCCTTTAGTTAGGGAAATAGGGCTTACCTAGTCTCCTTAAAACACACATTCAGAAATTGCAGAGGACATTTACTTTGAATATTTGCCACAGGGTCAATAGATTTTGAACATGTCAATAGCACAGGTTAACTGGATCTTGTTCAGTTAATACATCCTATGCTCACATAAGGATTGTTGTATAGCAATTTGGCTGCTATGAAACTTCAAAAAAAATCTTAATAGAAGAACCTTCTCATTAAACCAAACTCAGAAGTTCTGTTCTCATTGTAAATACAACAGAGGCACTTAGTGGTGTTATTTACAGCCTATCTGTGTATGAAAAACTACTTTAAATTGAAAAGGTTTGTATTTAGAGAAAATGAATCAAAGCTATGGAACTATCCCTGGAGTAGTCAGTTCAAATTTTAGCATATTCTATTTAGTATTCAATCAATCCAAGGTATTAGACTATTGTAGTGTAATTAATTGGTAAGTTGAGAGTATTTAGTTCTTGTTCCACATTGTTTTTCCCTTTAAAAATTAGTCGTCTTGTTTTTATTGAGTAAAAATATCACTTCTACTGAATTCATAAATTCCCATAAATGACCAAGTGTACTACATAACAGAGGAAAAGACCAGGAGCTGTGAATGACCAGCTAAAGTTGTCTGTGCTTTGAGCACTCATCTTTTCAAATGTTCTCACTATTCACAGTATTTAGTGTAACTCATTTATCTCCCAAGATAATGGGTTTGGCTACCAAATCTAGACTTATAGCAGCACTGTAAGATGAGATAATGATGGTGAATTGCAGGAAGTTTTCAATCAATGAAGACAAGGATGATGGAAACCTCTTAATAAAACAAGGAAAAAATGTTTGTCACTATGTTGACTTTGGAGTCTTGCATTACCTAATGTTCTGAAATCTTAATGCTTCAACTATTCACACAAGGGAGAAATGATAGATTCATTCATAAAATACTGATACTGTTGTTAGAAAGTAAAAATCTGAAACATACTTCTACAGTAATATTCCTCCCCCGACACACTCCGGTACCAGAGATTGAACTCAGGACCTTGCACCTTCGAGGCAGATGCAGAGCCACTAAGCTAAATCCCCAGCCCTTACAATAACATTTTTAAAAACAGTCACAACTCCCTGCTAATAACATATGCTGGCAGAAAAACAACCTAATCAGGTTAAAGAAATCATAAGACAAGTTAATGAGTGCTATAGTGTTTGGTCCTTAGTATAAAGGCACCTGGGTGTTAACAGGAAACTTGGGACCAAAAAACTTACAGGAACCATGTAATATTGAATGACAGTGAAGGCAGGGAAACTAATACCTTTCTGCTTTACCCTCACAGCTTCTTTTTTCTCTCTGGATCCTCATTTCTGAATTCTTACTGTACTCCATTTATAGCTGTGCAGAAGCTTTTCCATTTCCTTGGGTCCAGAACATACCCAGGCCACTCACACCCTTTGAAGAGATGGTTTGCTGCTTTACTAAGATGGAGAATGTGCTCTTGCAACTTCTTTCTACCTCACCGATTCTCTGTGGCTTCCCCAACTCCTTTATTCTAAGGGTCCTTTTATTTACATGTCCTCCATTCTAGTTTCTATGACTTCTTCCATGCTTTTTCCCCATTGATTTCCTTCTAATTTCTGAAAACTTCTACCAGTTCCTTGTTTTGCCCCACAAGGACAGTCATGGTCAAGTGTCTTGTTGACCAGTTACATGAGATTCATCACTCCATCTCCTTCCTTACTTTTCTACTCTTCTAAAGTACACATACACATACACATTTTTATACACATTGCTGCATCCTCAGCTTCCTCCTACCTGGCTTCTACACTATGTGCATAAGTGAAACCGTTGTATCTTGGCTCACCACAGACCACCCACATCACCAAACCTAATGGGCTTTCTTGCCCCTTCTCCTCCATTTGCCTGTAGTAGTTTACCTCAGGTACTCCTCTGGCTTTGTGACAGTCTTTACTGTCTTACTACCAAACTCACACAAAAGGCTTGAATATTTTGACCTTTATTTAATAGTGTTACTTAATAGTATTACTCTTCTCCTAGAATTTGGCTAAAAACTTTGGTCATTATAAACTCATCTCCTAACATTTAATGATTTGCCATTTCCTATCAAGCCTACCTCCACAAAGCATTTGGACCCATCCTGTCTCTGTCAAAACCACTGTGACTATCCTTCACGCCTGTTGTATGTCTTCCTAGGACTACTGCAGTAGTCTCCTATCTACTCTGTCAGACTTCATTCTTCCCCAAACTGTGTGGCTCAGCAGCTTAGGTTATCCTCCTACATTTAAGTACTGAATCAAAGTCCCTACCCTGGCACTGCATACAAGGCTATTCACAGTATGGTACCAATATACTTCCTTCAGACCAATACTGTGTCTGCCCCTGCCCAGGGCCCTCAGGTCTTGGTGTGTTCGCTCTCCCACTTGTGCTTCTACCCCTACGCCCACCCATGTACACAGCAGGAATTCAAGGGCCAGCAAAATCTCACCTCTTTGAAGCCTTCCCACACCTCTCCAGCCTAAAGAAAAACTTCCCTCTGGCCTGTTCTCTCTCAGGTATCAGCTCCCTCCTGTCTTTCGGGGGGTTTTTTTGGTACCAGGGATCAAATGTGGGTCCTTGCGCTTGCGAGGCAGGTGGTGGAACCAGAGCTAAATCTCTGGTTCCCTCCTGTCTTAGGGAATGCATCAGCTGTGTTTCTAGCCAAGTCAAATTCTACTAATAAATAAAATTTATCCTAAAAATTATTTTACCAAGAATAGTTTCCTAATAAGCTTGTTAGTATTCCTCACATATTGTCAATTACTGGTCTTTAATACAGACTAAAATATCTCCACTAAATTGCATAAAATGATCCATGAACAGTTATAAATTACTAAAATTTGAATTTCTAAAAGTCACAAAAAAGTAAATTATCATTGTATTTCTGCTTCTGGTATTTTGATATTATACAGGTTTTTAAAAAATATTTTAAATTAAAAAGACATCAAGTGCACAAATAATGCTTTCCAAAAAACCCAACTGATAATAAAAAGACAAAGAGATTATGCCAACACATTAACTAGCTTTAAAGCCAATAATTAATTAGCTTTAAAACTAGAGGAGAATAAAGATATCTGGCAGATTAGGAAGCAAAGATCATCACAATGATTTTAGTTTCAAACTAGCAGGTACAGTCATATGGAGATCACTAATCAACTTTTTAACCTAATCAGTAATGCTTCTCAACAAAAATATAGATGAACTTTTAGTATCCTTATAGCTCTTGCTTTGTATATAGTACAGTACATCCATTACATTGTTTTGTAGATTTACTCAGCCTGGCAAGTTGAAGCATACATTCTCCACAGAAACAGATGAGGAAGTCATGTGTCTATCTCAAGGTCTTGTCATGAGGGAGGTGACCTGATATGACTAAATTTAAACTTTTTCATTACTGAAGCTTCTAAAGGTTTGTCTGAAAAAGTGCCTCAATTCAAATGTGCTTTTTTTCTTCCCTCTCAGATAGCCATGGATATATCGATCCCTCACTGAGACCCATCTGGGACTTGGCTTTTCTTGGCAGCTCTTACGTGATGTGGGAAAAGACGAGTCAGTTTTTACACTACTACTTGGTCCAGCTTAGTAGTGTGAAGCAGTGGGTAAGAAATCTGAAAAGTAACTGTATGAGAGACACAATCAATGCAGTGTTCTCAGACCAGTGTGAATTTCTAACTCCATGAAAGCTTTGATTGCATTTCATTCTTTTAACAAATATTTGAGTGCCTGAAGTGGACAAGGTATTGTTGTAGAGAGTGAGGATGTAACAGTGGACAAAAACTACGAGGTTGCTGCCCTGAGATTAGTTCTAAAGAAAGTTCAGAAAGACAGTAAACTAATAAATGTATATCAAATGGTGGTGAATGCCATAGAGAAAAATAAAGTAGGAAAAGAGAATACAAGGTTTTAATAGAATTGACTACCTATATAATCTAAAGTAAGGCTATTTTGAGCAGAAGTGATACGGAATGAGGAATTGAGAGGGAGTTGTGACCCCAAAAGGGAAGAGAATTTTAGGGAGAGGAAACCAAGGTAGCAGTGTAGCTGACAGATTTGAGAAATGGCTGTAAGGATAGTGTGGCTGAGCAGAGTGAGCAAGGGGACTGTGCCAGCGGATAAAATCAAAGGGAGGGCAGGTAGAGGGGTTCTGTTCATGTACGGCCTTGGAAGCCATTAAAAGGGCCTTGTCTTTTACTCTGTCTTTTGCCTATGAGGCTTTTTAACAGGAGTGACACGATCTGACTCACACAGAATCATTCTGGCTGCTATGTTGAGAACAGACTGTAGGGGGATAAGGGAGGAAGCAGGAAGACCAGTAAATACTACAGTAACATAGGCAAGGCCTGGTAGTGGGTTGGCCACGGAAGTAGCAATGGAGATGGTGACAAGTGTTTGGATTCAGGTAGACTGACAGTATTTGCTCATGGGCTGGATAAGGATATTAGAAAATGGATTTGGGCCTCAAACCGGAAGGACACAGTTTTCATTAACTAAATGAGTAAGACTATAGGAAGAACAGATTTATAGGGAAAATGATCTTGGTTTGTGGCATGATAAATTCTGTAACCAAGTAGAGAATCCATATAGTCAGCTAGACATACGAGTCTGAAGTTCAGGGGAAAGGAACGGGCTGGACTCATGTCTGTGTACACAGTATTAAAAGTTACAAAACTGGATGAGATCACAGGTAATGATGTAGACAGAGAAAGTAAGTTATGTAAGGACCAAAGCCTGGAACCCTTCTAACTTTAGATTTCAGACAGGAACCCACAGAGTTCACATGGAGGGAAATAAATAACAGCAGCTCAGTTGCTGTAGGAGGTAGATGTCAAGGTAGAAACTAGCAGACACTCCATGCTACCTGCTTCAGTGAATGAGAGGTAAAGTCATAAGCTGACAGCAAGGAGGAGACGAAGTGCTGAGACTGTGGGGGGAGCACCACGCAGCCCTCCAGGCCCTTGAAGATTTGAATTCCAAGGACCAGTCACACACAGCTGTGTGGGTGTAGGTGGCAAGTAAGTGAAGAGCCGGATTTAGTCAGGGTTTGGATTTTTGTCAGCCAAGTATGATAGGGAGAAAGGAGTATTTTCAGAATAAGCAAAATCAACTTCTCTGAGAGGCAATCCGAATCAATCATGAGTAGCAATTTTTAAAATTCATATTTTTATAATTTGTCCATGGGTAGATTATCACTTCTGAGTACAGAGATTTGTCCAGCATTAAGTCAGCATTTTTATTGCCAATAATAGTTTGCTGTGTCCTCCAAAGGCCACTTGGAAGACATCAACTAGAGCCTAGTTTTTCTTACCTTTCTTTCTCCTTACGGAGTGCTTTTTAATAGAAATTACCATCTAACTGAATATTGCTATTAAGTCAGGACACAGTTCTTTTGCCAGATAAAAGCTTCTCTTTCTCTTACTGCAAATGGGGACACACATGTAAACCATACAGTTTAGAGAGGATGTCACTAAGAATTTTATATTTCTTTTACTCTGTAGAGTTTGAGTTTTAGAAAATAATAATTGAATATGCAACTGACTTGTTGGGTCACACAAGGCAAATCACTTCATCTCTTAGGATCCACTAAAGGAAGACTGACAAACTGATTGAGTCGCTGGAATCTAATAAACTTAAATCACTGGAGGAGAGGAAAATTTGGTTTCAAGTTTGATAGGCATTTTGGCCTTTTCTCTTAAAGAAAAGTAGTGTGCACACATATCCATATACATTTTCAAATTCTGCTATTCAGTGACCACTAAGGATTTTCATCTTTCAGCAAAAGAAGCAAAAACCAAAGCTATCAATGGCTTTTAAAAGTCACTAAAAGCAGAAGGTCTAAGTCCTATTCTGGGAGACTAGCAAAAAGGTGATAGTGCTGAGAAGGCCAAGATACCACTGAGGCAGGAAGTGACTAGCAGTGTTCAGAAAACTATTGTTTTCCAAAACTTTCTGTGTGGGAATTATTAACTCTACACTCAGGGTTAAACTCAGCTTTTCATGCAATTGTGCAAGTAAATGCAAGATTATAAACTCATAGCCTCAAATGAACAATCCCTGAGAGAAGATTGAAGGAGGTACTGAAATACAACTCTAAAATACCATCTTCCTGGTACAATCATTGCTTTTGAACTGAAGAACAGATGTTACTCTCAATACCCTGAGGGCTATGCTAAGGTTAAGGGACATACACTGGCTAGGGAAAAAATGGATAATGGCTTTCCCTGTATCCTTAGCCTTTAATATGAATGAGAAAAGTAAAACTGCATATTGTTCCAATTTTTATCCATCAGACCCAGATTCTGCAAGCACCCCAAACCATCTATCCAGCACTACACTACTACAATCAGTTCAAGGCTTACCCCAACTCAAGGTCTCCACTAGCCAAAGAATCCATCTCATCTACCTGATCTGTTCTGTTTTAAGCCTACTCGCTACTATAAAAAATACTGGTTCTAGTAGGAATTATTCTCTTTTTGAGGGGGTTGGTAGAGTAAAATGGGGTGGATCACAAGAGAACAAACAAAACACTTCCAGTCTGTTTTCACGAAGATTAAAGTGCTGAGTCAACAAAAAATGTAACAAATATATCACCATTATTTGGTCTATAAGGACTTGGCGTTTGTGATTTGAAAAGAAGCCAAAGCCATTATTTCCGAGTTATTTTAAAAATAATGACTTCTGGGCAGAGCTTGACCTGCTAAGGGCACTTCAGTCCTGGAATATTTTGCCAGATTGCAAAGTGAGGTGTCCTACAGTTCTCTAATAAGCTGTGCTTTTTGGTTTGTTTTAAGGTTGCTTCTTCCTGGAGGAAGAAGCCTTTACAAAAATTGGCAATGTTAAGGGTGTGATTCCATAACTTTACTGAGGCAGGACTTAATCAAATAGTACAGTGTTTCCAGCAACATAAAAGCCAATTTGTGTGGAATGTCTTAGGAGAGATGAGGTCAAGACAGCCTCGAAGTGAAGATCAAATAAATGCCGGCTGCCTGCCCCAACACCATCAGACTGATAATGTCATCCTCTGTGGGGCACTGATTCTAGGCCTAACCCCCAATGCCCAAATCTCCAAATGCTCAAGTCACTTGTATTTGCATAGAGGCTTTACACATTCTCCCATGTACTTTACATCACCTCTAGCTATACATAATACCTAATGCAATGTAAATACTATGTAAATAATTTTTATAATATATTATTTAAGGAATAATGAAAGGAAAAGTCCACACATGCTTAGGGCAGACACAATTTTTAAAAAGTACTTTCAGCTCTTGGTTGTGTGCATGGATGTGGAATCCACAGTTATGGATGGCTAACTATAATTGGAACCTTCTGTAGCCTGTTCTCTTATATGAGATGCTCAATTTTCTCTGATGTGTTCTCTGATTCTGCAGCTTGTGCCTCAGATGTCTGCTTTGAACACTCATAGGTACACTGCTAGGCAGGAGACAAAACCTTCAAAGAAGCCACCATACAAAAAGCAGTCTATTTCTGATTCATCCTGACTCTTTTATTTTCGTCCTACAACATCCTCCTCACTTGATATAAACTTCCTGTTGTGTAAAAGTCTCCATCAGTGAAGGCAAAGGGAAGACAAAACTTAATGTAAAGGTTTTGTTGTATTTACCTTTTAATATTCTTTGGAGGTCTCAATAAAAACCTGCTAGAAGACTAAAATTATATCCTAGAATTGGTTTGTTTTTTTTTAAGGAAAAGTGCCTTTCTCCCATGTTTACTAGTAAAGAGATAAGCCTCTTGGCATAAAAAATAGAAAATGTCGAAAATAGGAAATTGTCTTTAGTCACTAGTAAAACATGTGGGAATCAAGCAAATAAAAGGTGAGGACAACCTGCCTACCTACTGAAAAATACTAATGCATTGGTTTTAGAAACAGCATGGTAGAGTTTTATAGAGTATAAATGAAGAATGTGAGTTCTGGAGTTAGCAGATTAGGTGTTGAATCCCCATTTGTCAGTTGCCAGCTGTCACCTCCCTCAAGCTACTGCTCCTGTAAAACCAGGCTTGTGATATATACTGTATAGTCTCATGAATTACATGAGACTATATAAAAAGTACCTACTTCAGAACCTGGCCCATAGCAGGCATTCTAAGCAGGGCTAACTTTATCAGCTTGAAGTGCACATACAGCATCTAGATCCTTAAGGTTGCTGCAAAATTGTTCCTGTTCCCACATACTTTAGCCTCCATCAAAAACAGTAAATATCAGAGAGAAAAAAATGATAAACATTGAACCAAACTTTTATATAACTCAGTAAGAAAAGACAGTTTATGACTTCCATTATCTTGCTGCAGAATATACCAAAAGAAATGAGGCTGAAATCTAAAAGGTGTCAGGAGACCCAAGGTAGCCATCCTAAACAAGAATGTATATGACACAGGCTCACAGAATCTATTAGACTTACTCTTTTTTCTTCCTGTAGAAAACTAATGATGATGTGATTGATTTTGATTATACTGTACTACTTCACGAATTCCCAACACAGGTAAAATACAGAATTATATGCAAAATTGTTTTTACCTTAAGTTTTTACAGGTTGTATTCTAATTTTATGACCATTTTCTAGGAAATCATTCCCTGTCTTATTCACCTGGTCTGGTACCCTGGAAAACCACTTAAAGTGAAGTACCGCTGTGAAGAGCTACAGACCTCAGAAGAAGCCTCTGGAACTGCAGAAGGATCAGCTATGGAACTAACACAGCTTAGTAACTTCTAAAATTAAAAAGGACCTGCTTATACCAAATTGCCAACCAACTGACTGTACTAACTTGTTACTCTAGTACAACAGCTAAGGTCTGGGTATCATAACTTAGCAGTCCTCAGCAGGTTCAAGGTTTTAGCCCTAAAATGCAAAATCCATCAATTAGTATATATTGCAAATGGATCAATAATTATTTTTCTTAAAATATAGTTTCATCTCTGAATCTGTATTTCTTATTGTGAACATAGTATTGCTATTTTTATGTTGCTGAATTGCTCCTTCCTAGTATGTCAACAAATATATTTGCAATAAAGTAATCTGTAGGAAAAATATTAACTGAATAATTTTATTATATTTTATCATTTCAAGCAATTATTCCTTTTTAACTTGAATCTACTTTTTAAATAAACGTGTTTCTAAATAATGTGTTTGCAGAAATTTGTATGCATAGGGAAAATTTGTGCTAAACTAAAATTAAATAAAATCAATATAGTTTGCTTCAAATTTTACAAATATGGTAACTTACCCGATAACATTGTCTGCAAACATGCATTAAAAGAAACACTAATATAACAAAGTACATCAAATATTTACAATTTTTATTTATAAAGACTTGAATTCAGTGTTGGTCTAAGTAATTTATGAAAGCAAACATAACACATACCATAATCAAATCAAAGCAAGAATTGGATCAGGAAATGTTGCCATCATTTGCCTCTAAAAATTATAATAGAACACTTATATCAGTGTCTAAAAACATTTAGCCAGGTTACTTGACCAGTAACTGATTTGGAAGCATCAGCCTTAAAATATAACATAATAAGATGCACATTTACTTACAGTGGGGCAATGTCCCAATAAATCCACAAGTTGAAAATATCATAGGTTGAAAACACATATCATACTTACCCTCTGAAACATCCTGCCTTAGCAACACTGTACACTATAGTGTGTTGGTTTTTCAGCCTCATAGTCATGTGCTTGGCCTCAGTTCTGCTGCCTAGCATTTCAAGAGAGTATCAGACTACAGTGCTATCTTGGGAAAAGATCAATTTTTTTGTTTGTTTTTTGAGAGAGGATCTCTCTATGTAGTTCAGGCTGGCCTTGAACTTACCATGTGGCCCAGGCTGGCCTCGAACACATGCCATCACTCCTGCCTCAGACTCTGGAGTGCTGGGATTACAGGCATAAGCCACTGTGCCTGGCTAAAACTCAAAATTCTAAGAAGAGTTTCTCTTAAAGGCATATCACTTTCACATCATTGTAAAGTAGAAAAAGTCTAAGTCCAACCATCATAAATCAGGGACTGACTATTATTTAGTCTGTACTGCTATATAAAGTTTATACTAAAGAAAAATTTTAGACATGGACTCTTACAAAATAAAAATAAATATATCTCTTTATGCATTTTTCTATTTAAAATCCCAAACGGTTGCATTTACTTGGCCAACATCCAGCTGTTTTTTAAGTATTCTGAAACACTGTACTAAAGGAAACTTCTGCTTTCTCACCTATGTGATAATGAAGAGCAAGTGCTCTTTCTAAAATAACAAAGAAACAATCTACAATGATTAAATTATGCTAAATCATGACGGAAATTGCTTTAACTGAAAAACCCTAAGTATTATTATAGCATATTCAATGTGCTGTGTCTTTTAATCATTCTTTTACTATAACATTAAGGACTGGAAAAGGGTGTTTATATGAGTCCTCATTCTCATAAAAGCACTGTCCATTAGTGAAATTAGACTTACAAATGTGACCATAATTCAGCCAGGTAAGGATTCTGAGGTAACCCTTTAACAAACTTATTTCAGTCTAATAGATTATGAGGGGGAATTGTATACAGACAAATAATATACAAACACAATTACCTAAATTATACAGTCACAAAACCCACGAAAGTTAAACTAAACATTTTTCAGTATCACCTAAAAATCTCTAATATCATCTGAACATCTTTTCTAGTGCAAACTCTAAAACTGGTGACTTGATTTTACTAACATTTTTCATAGCTAACAACGGAAAGAAAATACCTGACCTGCCTTAGCATAAAATAGAAACTCTAAATTGCCTAGGCTAGTGATGGTGAACCTTTTAGAGCTTTCAATCGTAACAGAGAGCAGGCTGTGGCACAAGTGTCATAAGTCTGCCACCACTGCTAACCCTCTTTTCATTAACAATGTAAATTTATCTGAATCACTGTGCGCCAACGAGCTACATCAGCATCATTTCTTCAGAACTTTCAAAATTTTAAGACATACAAAACAGTATCAAGATTTTTATGTGCATTCCACTTTATTCTACTTAGTTTCAATTTTTCCTACCTCAGTTATACATCTATATAAATTAAACAAGTACTTTTGAAAGTCAATTAGAAGCTTCTATACTTGTACTTGAATGTTAGTCCTTTGTGACATCTTAGTTTATCACACCCATTTTTCTCAGATTAGAAAATTCAGTCCTTTCTCTGACCTCCTAGCTTTCAAAGTACCATAAACAGCTAACATGTGGCTGACACCTACTTGAATACATAAATGCTCACATAAATTTTCTGAGGATACAATTAACTCATTTTAGTGATGCATTACAGTGTTATTTATTTGAAGGCACTTTAAGCAGCAGTTAAATCTTCAACAACTTTCAGTTTTAGCAATGTAAGTAGCTATTTTCTACAAAGGGATATATTCAAACATGTCAATTTACTACTTCCTATTGGCTGCCAAATTTAAGACATGTGAAGATTTCAAAAACTTTAAAATAATGAAAAATCTTAAACTTCAGAACTGATTAAATTTTGGTAATTTCATAAACTATGCAATCAGAGTGAGCAAAGAAGAATAACAGAAAAGGTGACTGTATCTAAATGAGGAACCAATAGCTCAAACTTAAATATCATGCAAAAGAATACTAATAATACGAAAAAGAATACTAAAGCATATCTGAATTGCAAATATCATTCATTTCATGTCTTGGACCTCAGGGCAGGCAAAACTACAATGGTCTTTAATGCTGAGTATATACTGGAATCACCTGGGAAAGTTTCAGAGACTCCAAGTATCTGAGGTGAGCCTGAGGTGTTTCTTTTTAAAGCCCCCAGGTGACTTTTAAAGTGCAGTCAGGATGGGACATACATGCAATACTTCCTAGTGCTGCTACTACTCTCCAGGCAAAGGCAATATTATTTTTCTTTAGCCAACGTTTATACTTCACAAAATATAAAAAATAAATCCTTATTTATAAATATTCAAATTAATCTTTTCCATGCTACAACCTTTGGTTGGGATTTAGTCTTTATAAACTATCACTAAGCTAATGAATTAGCAAAAGATGTTGGTTAGATTCCTAGATTTGTTCCCTATGTGCTATTTGAGTTACTTACCCCTTCACACATCCTGCTGAGACCATTAGTTCCTATGAAATGCTGGGGAAGGACTGATACCTAGGATCATTTCTGACACTCTAACTTTAAAAATGGAATATTTGCCCCGGGGATTTAGCTCAGTGGTGCCGCTGCCTGCCTCAAAAGTGCAAGGTCCCGAGTTCAATTCCTGCTACCAAAAAAAAAAAAGGAATATTTAACACATGAAAAACATGTTCACATTTTCCCATCTTTCTGACTACTCTAAATAGCCAGAGAGATCATGCTACATTCTATGAAAGTATTTCCTCACTTGGCATAATACTCATAACAATGAAAGGTGTGAGGTACTGATGTAATGCCAAAGCAACCACATTTCTCAGGTTTGATGCTAATATAGCAATAGACATATCCATGGGGGAAATGTATGTCACCACAGTCAGACCTAAAGTATCCATTTGATAACTTAATAAGCAGCATTATCTTAGAAAAAATTACCTTCTCTGTGACTGTGCTTCTTACAAAAGACAATACTGTAACAGTATTAACTCTCCTAGCGTTGTGAGAATTAAATAATGCATTTATAAAATAATGCATTTATGCGAAAACATGCTTGATAATTTTAAAGTCTTTTTTCCTAAAAACCTCAAATTATAAAGTCAAATCTGTAAAACAAGAAAAACAAAAGAATTTAAAATCAATTATTTCATTTCCATTATCCAGTAACAGAACATATGTGTATGGCATCAGATAATTTTTGGATGAAGAAATTCTGAATATTACAGTAGAACTCCCTGGGAAAAACGTGACCTATTCTGGAAACAAAAGCTTAACATTTGTTCTTTCACAATCTCAATTAATATAGTATAAGACTGCAACAGACTCAATTCAACTAGTATTTACCAAGTGAATGAACTGAGTAGCAACTTTATAAATTATATTTTATTATTGACAGCCACAGAAAGAAACTAAGATGAACATAAACAAGAATGGCATTTTAAGGATATGTTTTTTACTTCATGTGGGACTGCAAGTAACATCTGTATTCTTAAAACAGAAGCAGTTAGGAATTTGCAGAAGCTACAAATTGAAGCAATCAGCCATATTACAAACAAGCTAGAAATTTAGCTAGTGGGTTTTTATTTTTTATTTATTTTTGTGAGGCAGGGGTCTCACTATGTACTTCAGGATGGCCTTACACTCACTATGGAGTCACACGGAAGATGCCAAATCAGCCCGCTGCAGACAGGCAGCCACCTGGTTCCACACTTACACTCACTATGTAGCCTAGGCTTATCCTTGAACTCATGGCAATCCTCCTGCCTCAGCCTCCCAAGAGTGCTGGGATTATAGGCATGCACCACCACACCCAGGTAGTGTTTTAATAACCCAATGAAGAATTTAAAAAGTGTTCTCTAACAAGAACATATGGAATCCATCCAAACAAAAAATGCTTGCCCATTAATGACACTCCAAGAAGTGGTATATAAAATGGTATATAAAATTTCCTTTAAGTCAATGTACGAGACACAGAGAGAAAACTATTATTTGATAAACAAACTGTTAGCACTGTCACTGCTGAATTTAGATAGAAAGTATATGGCTATTCTGTGCAGAAACTGTTTTCTCAGCATTTCTGTATGTTGAAAATTCTCATGATTTAAAAAAAAATTGGAAAGAAGTTTATACATATTCCAAGCTTAGAAATGTAACTGAAACAAATTTCTTCCTTTAAATATTAAATGTATTCCAGTACTGTAATAATCATATCTTATTCGAGGTTTTTTAATGAACTATAAAACCAATTCAGCAAATTTGAGATATACACAGAATTATCTTTGAATAGAAGCTTCTAAATGGGAAACAGGAAAGGTTTCTAAAATTTGTTTCAGCAACTTGAATTTGTTCCACTGACATCTATCATTTCCAAACCTTGCAAATTCAATTAAAATTAATAAAATGAGGAAATTC